GGATATTATATAGACATCCCCACCCTTCCAGGGGGGTGACGTGATTTGAGAGACAGCATGGTATAATGAGAAGTGACAAGGTCTGGGAAAAAATCTCCCAGGAAGCTATAGTTTTGCTGGTAATGATGATCTTGATCAAGTCCTTTAACTCCTCTGAACTTTATTTTCCTAACTGGTAAAATTAATGGGAGAGGAGGGCTGGAGTGAGGGAGGGAAAGACAGATGAACCCGTAGAGGACGAGCCATGCAAGAAGCACATATCTTTATATTCCTAGCATATGATCTGGTATCTACTCCATCGCCTTGTGGATTTAGCATTTCTTTGATTTTAATTCATACACACACACAAGAGGAAGAGTTTAGTCCCTTAAAACCGAGGTCACATTCAAGTGGTCAAATGGGTCCTGCAAAAGGTCTTATCTTTAATGCCCCACTAAGTTTCAACCAAATTTTGAGTCAACATTGAAAACTGAGGAAATGCCCCTTGATAATTCAGCCCGGTTAGTTGCTATGATAAATCTGAAAAGTCCGACCGTGTTGGCCTTGTCTTTCTACTTGGCAGAGCAAGTCCTGGAGATGAATAGTTTCACTTTTCCCAAAAATTCCCCATGTCTGCACCAGCCCTAAAGATGACTGTCAGTCATTATTTATCTCCTATTTATGACTACTTTGCATATAATAAAAATATATTGCTCTTTGTTGAGTCTCCATCAAATATAGGGACACAAAAGTCAGCACTAGAGGCTGCTCAGGGAGAAGAAATGGGACTGAGTGTGTTTGTTTGTGCAACAGTTGACAATAGCTAGGTTTGTGCAACCTTTGACAATAGCACCCAGCCACTGGCCCCTCAGTCATTGGTGACTTTGCCTTCTGCTTTAGAAAGTCATAAAAGCCATTCTAGAGATGGTACAGTGAAAGATACCCAGATTACATGGTAAGATTTTATTATTTACTATCTGGGCTAACATACGCCAAGTCACTGAACTTTTCTGAAATTTAGAGTCCTCTTGTGTAAAATGAAAATGCTGGACAAAAGTCATCTCTAGGTACCTCGCAGCTGAAGCTGCCATGATCTTAAAGTTTTGCTTCTTCTTTTAGAAAGCCACTACAACATTACTGTCATAAATATGTACCCTCTTTTTAAGGAGCGATCATATTCTTTCTCCTGCAGCCTAAGGCAGATTTCAGTGACTGAATCTGTCATTTTTCATGTCAACACTGTATATTGTGGAGATCAGAGCTTCAGAATGAAAACTCTGCTCAGAGTTAACACGTGCCTTTAAAATGCATTTATTTGTACATTTGTAGCTTGGAAGGGATGAAGTCATAACACTGGCAAGTTTTTACCAATTGTTAGTTGTGCTACAAGTTCTTTGGTGGTAATAATAGAATTGCTAAGGTACTAACGCTTGCTAATAAGGAATCAAAGGAGTTTCCAGGATACCACCAGGAGAAAGCTCATCTCATTCTCATAAATCCTCATATAATTTTTAAATGGTAAAAAAAAAACAAGTAATAAATGAAGTTATAGGATCCTCATCATGGATTCCCATAAAGCTGAGAGCCATTTCCATAGGGAAGGTGAAAGATGTCAACATCTGGCTCCCATACCCAGACTAAGATTCTGAATTACTCGGACTAGTGTATAGCCTGCAAAAAGTAATTTTAAAGCATCTTAAATGATTCAAAGATAAAGGCAGTGATCTAATAAAGACTTTGGTCTGTAGAACTATGAGCAATGGCCAGGGTTCCAAATAAAAGATTGAAAAGATATTACAATGAGGTCAACTTCATCATTTTCTTAGTGTCTACTTATCATTCATAATCTAGCATACTTGGTTATATCATATAAAATTTTTCAGTGTTGGGCAATGGAGAACTTTCTGGGGAATTATGTAACAATATTTTAAAGTAGATCCTTAGTGATTATTTTCTGATATGAGCAAAAGGATTTCATCGTAGAGGAATGTTATCCCAGATTTATTCTTCAGCATAATTTTTATGTTGGCATTCCATCTTTTCAAATATGTATATGACATTATAATAAAGTATATATACTTTTGGCTAACTAAAGAAAATGTCATTGACTTAAATAATTCAAACTGTGGACAATTAAATTCCATAATAGTTTTTAGTTTTTAAACAGTACTCCCCACCTCCCCCCAAAGATACAAACTTTTAGAACCCTCAGGTACAAAGTGTGTTCAAGAGACTTTTTCTTATCTGTTCAGATATCCTATCAATATGGTAGAAATGAGAGTTATAAAGAAAGGAGTGACTCCGTAATTTACCTCATCCCATCCTCTTCTTTTATAATTAAAGAAATTGAGATGGTTGGCATGGGCAGTGCCTGTGGCTCAAGGAGTAGGGCGCTGGCCCCATATGCTGGAGGTGGTGGGTTCAAACCCAGCCCCGGCCAAAAAAATAAGAGATGGTTGACAAGCAGTGATATGTCCCTATTAGTAAGTAGCAGAATGAAAAGTAGAACTCATGCCATGTATTCTAAGCTGGGACCCCTTGTCCTCTACCACTGGGTTCCTACTAGTTCTCCTCTTTTTTTTTTTTTTTTGTCTTTTCTGGAAACATCCATTTGGCCATTTTTACTTATCCTTGAAATTTGGTTCCATATTATACATATAGATAAGTCTTAAATAGTGATTGTTTAGTGCTATGGTATCATGCCTGTGAAAGGTATACATGTGTATGTGTATTCTAATTTAGAACTTAGTGAGTCAGCGCAAGATTGCTTCCAAATAATACTTGCAGACCATGTGCCAGTGCATGCCAGAGTGAATATGTTGATCGCATCTTTGGTTGATTATTATGGTCTTCTACTGCTGTTATACTAATATTTGTCCCATTTCCCACTGGCTTTACTTTTTGCAGCTTTGAGCAGTAATTCAGTCCCCTACGCCTCCCTGATTGGCTCTGTGTCCTCCCTCTCTAGCCAAACCACCACTCAGTCCATATATGATAATAACTCTCTCCCACGATTCGCTCGAAAAGGTCTAAACATCTTTGTCTGTATTATTTTCTCTGTTAAAGCACTGTAACGATGTCCGTGTCAGTCCACTCCCATCTCCAGACAAGCCTAACGTCTCCTGTGCCTTGCATTTCCATTCCTTTCACCGGGGTTGCCTCATCTGGATGAGATCACTCAGTTATCAGACCACTGTCGCCCACCCACTCCTTCCACAGAAGGTCAATTAGTTCAATTCTATCATCACACAGAAGAGTTCCAGAAAGTGGCCCAAAATTTGGGTCCAAAGCCATCATTATATCACCAACAAAGAGTTTTTACTTCCAAGCAGTCTATTTTTATTGGACCACCACTAAGATTTTAGCTGACTAGAAGCACACCTGCATAGCTGTGAAAATTAGACCACCACGATTCACAGCACGGTGCCAAAGTGAAAGTCTTCAAAGAGCAAAGCCCCTTTTTACTTAACTTACCGAACCATTGACAATTTGGCATTTGAGATAAAGGAACTTACTGGGTGACTTTTAATAATGGTACAATTTCTAAAATGTCCATAAAGTAAACACATGTTGACTTAATTGTCCTTATTCCACAGTGTGACTCCCTCCAGAGAGTCACAATGACAGCAGAATGTCAACAAGGCTTCCAGTTTGAGCTCCTCCCTCCTCCTTTTTCTGCTTCACAGGCTTCCCTGGGGACATGTGAGTTCAGGTCGTTCTGGCCAGCAGGAATTTGTGTCTGTAAGATACGAGTCAGCAGTGCTCTCCCATGCTACTTTTGCAAAATTTATTAGAAAGAAATAAAATGCACATCAGGTGAAAAGTGAGAAAATATCAGAAAAATACAGGGATTACCAAAATTAACAGTGGATTATTTTTTAACAGAATCAATGAAATTAATGTCTATCCCGCTGGCCGACTGAACTGAGACGTGTCAGCCCCCGTCTCCGCTTTCCTCCTTTTTCCACCTTCTTTCCTTCCTTACCTTTTCACCATTGGCTCACTTTCCTGGATTCATTTCCCATGAGTGGACAAAGATGTTTACACCTGAAGTAGATTGTAGGTTTGCTGGGGGTTGAGTAACGGGGACCTGGGGCAGAACACCACGAAGTTGTTAGTGTGGCCATCTGTAAATATCCAGGAGAAGGCTGCAACCCCAGCCTCTACAATCTGCTACTAGTGGAAACATGTTTGAAGCTCAGTGTGGTGTCTGATCGTGTGGTCAGTGATTATTGTCAATGAGCTGTGGTGCATGTCATCCTTTGTGTCTGTGTTTGCATGTGAATGTCCGTCACCTACAGGTGTGTGAAATAGTGAATCTATCTTAATCAAGTCACACTATATAGTAAATCCTGCAAAAGCTCACAGCATTTCTATTAGTCTTTTCTTTTTAAGTATATCAGGCTATCCATATCATTTTTTTTAACAAATCTGTTCTATTTTATTTTATTTATACCATCATTTCCTTTGCAGGTTCAGATGATTCCGGTTACCCTGGTAACCTTCATTCTTCAAGTTAGTTTCCCTTGCTTATGCATAAGTCATTTTATGTTTCCTATCAAGCTACAACTCTCTCCCTTTTAGGCCTTTCTCAGTGTCTGTTTTCTTAGTTCACTCTTCACCATTTAATTCCACACAATTTCCATTTCACACAGTGCAGGAGAAGGAGTTTGAAATGACATAAGAGTCATTACTCAAAGCAGAAGTTGACATCAAGCCTGACTGGCAGTTTTCTCCGCTAGCTAACCCATTGATTCATAGCACAATAACGCTTTCTTTTACACTAGGAGTGTTAGTTTGGAGATTATGCTTGGTGACTTTTCATTTGGCTACAAAATCCATCCTTCCAGAGCATGTCCTGCTTTGAGTAACCAAACTATTTGCCTGCTTCCTCACTTAAGACATCTTTACTACTCACATATTTTCAGGCCATTTCTAACTATAGTATTCTCTGTATTGGGGAATAATTAATGTCTTTTTCATGTATTTTTAAATGTGTCTCTTCTGTCCTTTTTCGATAGGCATGGCTAGCCATCCTCCAATACCTATCTTGGAACTTGCCGATCACATTGAAAGGTTGAAAGCAAATGACAACCTGAAGTTTTCCCAGGAATACGAGGTAATTCACTGTGTTTATACTGAAAAGTAGTTGCAAGACTTGCCACCACCTTCTTTTTGACCATATTCTCAAAAATTAACTTTATCCACTTTTCCTTTTAAGTATAACTCAGAATCTAATGTAAAAATTTATAATGAAGAGCCTACTTAAAAGTATCTGTGCAATCAACATAGTAATTGTCCTTTACAAAGGTGTTAGTTTTAGATTTGTTCAGTGTTACTAAGGTTATATACTTTTTGCATTTTGAAATTTTATTTTTCATTGATACATGCTTATAATTCTATGCTATGCATTATTACTTATAGTTACTATTTTGTGCAATAGATCACTACAGCTTATTCCTTTTGGCTAGCTAAATTTCGGATCATCTATGCTCCCTCTGGTAGATCCTATTGTTCTCTCTACTCCAACAAGTTTGACTTTTTCAGGTTCTACATTCGTAGTGTATTAGCAAGATTATTTGGTGTTTGTCTTTTCTTGTTTTATGAGTTTAAATAATATACTGAACTGATAGTCTTCCTAGTATACCAAATGGGTGCCGAGTGCATGGATTCACGATGAGAATCCTCACTGGAAAACAGAAATGACAGAGATGAAATAGACTCCTCAGTACTCTTAGTTTTACAATTTAGGCTCTGAAAACTATGACTATTGAATATGCATATGTGATTTTACCATTTAGTCTAAATTAGTGCTAAATCTAACGGTTTGAGACTCAAAAGGTATTTCTAGAAATGCGCTTATTTTTGAAGGAATGGTGAACTGAATGCTATGTTAAAATTCCAGAATCCTTAAATAGTCTTTGTGAATTCTTGATGGTGAATGGAAAGCTTGTCTGTGAGTATCTGTGTATGTGTTGCAGGGGGTATATTTGGATATCAGCCCTTTATCAAGTAAAGAGTTGTAAAACTGGATATTTCCAGTATTTAGTAGCAACAAGGGCCCATAGTGGAGCCAACTAATGAATTATTGATAACTGGACCATAATTATTCTTTTAGGCAAAAGTTAACTTAATATAACATTTAAATATACAGTTAAAAGTCACATAGTTGTACCAAATGACAAAAGGCTGTGGGGTACCTGAGCAGCCCTAATTTAACCATAAAGATTTTCTACCAATTTACTAAAGAGAAGCTTTAAACACGTCCTTGTTATCTCACTTTGTATCTATTTTATCGGCCTTAATTGGGGCACGTACATTACATGGCCTCTCACTCCCTACCAGCTCCACCATTCTGTCCTATCACATACCATTCAGTAAGAACCTCTTAGAGGAGCCCCAACCCCCAGTGACTAGAGAGGTAACAAAAATATGAAGAAGCCTCATGTAAAAGAATGTGGACCAGCAGGGGTCTATGACACTCTTGAGTATCTGCATGGCCTCCTTAAATCTTCACTTTTAAAAGAAAACACAGAGTCTTATTTTGTCACCCTGGGTAGAGTGCCGTCTTGTCACAACTCACAGCAACCTCAAACTCTTGGACTCAAGTGATTCTCTTGCCTCAACCTCCTGAGTAGCCAGGATTACAGGTGCCCACCAAAATGCCTGGCTAATTTTAGAGACAAGTATCTCACTCTGGCTCAGGCTGGCCTCAAATGCATGAGCTCAGGCGATCCACCCACCTCAGCCTTCCAGTGTGCTAGGATTATGTGAGCCAACATGCCCAGCCCAATCTTCACATTTTTTAATTCTAATTATTTTAAATTACTATGCTAGATGAGCAAAACAAATCACATTCACCTCCACTCTCAACAGCTAGACAGCCTTTCAACAGCTAGACAGCCTTTAATTTGCATGCTTCAACATCTTTATAGATATTTGATAGAACACAATGATTTTGTTGTTTCCTTGCTTCTTGGTTAGGTTAGTTTGGGGATACTCGCATTGAATTGTGAGTCGCCATACTTTCTCAGAAGGTCCGCTTCTGATTTCTTTCCTCCCTTTCTCTTGAACAGAATGGCTCTTTTTAAATTATGCAGTATCTTTTAAAGCACTTTCTGTAGCTTCTAGTTAGGGACTTGAGCTACAAATTGAGTTTTAGGAGAGAAAACAAGGCAAATGATGAATACCAGCTGCAACTCTTAAAAAACTCGCAGTTAACTGTCAGTTTTCACCAACCAGCGATCTTTCACTGCTCTACTCTGCTCTTTATTGTCATGATTCTTCTGTTTATTTTTCTGTGTGATATTGTCTTTGTGGCCCCATTTTAATTCTTTGTGATTTTGAGTAACGTAATGGGTCATAAGAAGATAAAAATGGGATAACTCATCCTGTTAATAAGCCATCACTTCACTGTGCACCAATACAACGTTAAGCCATTGACAATGATGCTGTCATGATCATTTAATGATGGGGATACTTTCTGAGAAATGCATCAATAGGCAGTTGCCATCTTTATGCGAACATCAAAGACAAACTCAGGTGGGAGTCTACCTCACACCTACACTATGTGGTATATAACCTAGGACTCCTAGGCTACACCTGTATATCATGTTACTGTCCTTGACACTGTAGGCAACGGTAACACAATAACTGTAACACAATAGTTAGTATTTGTCAATCTGAGCATAGCAAAGGTATGATAAAAAATACTATATAAAAGATAAAAATGCCTCTGTACAGAGCTCTTACAATGAATGAATCTCACATGACTCTGTGCTGGTGTAGACTTTATAAACACTGCGTACTTTCGCTACACTAAATTTATAAAAATTATTTTTCATTTTTTCAATAATATATCAACAACTTACTGCAACTTTTTTTACTTTATTAACTTCCTGATTTTTTTAAGCTTTTTGACTCTTTTATAATAACATTCCTAGCTTAAAACATAACCATATAATACAGCTATACAAAAAAAAATTTATAGCCTTATTCTTTAAGTTTTTTTTCTATTTTTAATTATGTTTTAAGTACTTTTTTCAAAAAGTAAAATATGAACACACGTATTACACAAGGTGAGAGTCCATCAGTGTCACTGTCATTCACCTATACGTATTGTCCTACTGGAAGATCTTCAGGGTTACCAACAGCCATGGAGCTGTCGTCTCTTATGATAATGATGCCTACATCTGTAATTCCTTTTGGTGGACCCAAATAAGGCTGTTTTGCAGTTAGTTTTCTTTATATATAAATAGAAGGCATATGTTCTAAAATAATAGCAAAAAATATATATTATATAGTATAGTAAAGATGTAGACCAGTTACATCATTGTTTATTATCATTATCAAGGCTTATGTCCGATATATAACTGCATGTGCTATACTTTTCTATTACTTGCATTGCAGTGGACTTGGATGCTAGCATTACGACAAACACAAAAGTTATGTGCTGTGCTAGGATGTTAGGACAGCTACCATCTCCCTAGGATAGGAATTTGTGCAGCTTCATTATAATTGACATAGCACCATCCTGTAAGTGATCCATTGTTGACCTCCTAGCATCATTCAAGTGATCTTAGTTGCATGCATTGAATATAAAACTAGTTTAATTGAAAGATGGAATTTTCCAGAAATGCTACATGTAAAGATACACTAACGATCCTCATTTAGCCATTAGATCAAAAGTGCTCCTGGAAAGTAGCTCTGCACTGCATGCTGGCAATGCTGCTCTGAGCAGCTTCCACGGTAGCCTGGCCATTGACAGGATGGCCTCCGCAGACTCCTCACCGATTATCATGATGATCATCTGTGATTAAGGCTCCCTGGGCATGAATTGACTCTACTGTGCCTTAACAGCTGGAAAGATGTTTAACTGTTGTGTTCATCTGTGATGATAGGATTAAGGCCTCTACGTGATATTTTAGGCCATAGAGCAACAGTTTGGGGAAAAAATTGTTTATTATGTCTCACGTAAATTTGAATAGACGTTTTCTAGTTTTCAGTGAAGAAAATGAAGGAAACTCACACTACTTTCAAACACCTAATTATTTTTGCATAATTACGATGAATCAGTGTTTACTCAGACCTCTTAAAAGATGTAAAGTGAAATTTGTCACTCTGATTCTAACACTAAATCAGAGGCTAAAGGCATGAAAGTTGTTTGCCCTGATCCTGAGGCTGGAATAGGAGGAAATAGGTCAGACGTTAGCACGGTATTATTTGATCGTGGGAGAGACCTCCTGTACTATAAAGGCAATTAGATTCTGACATTGGATTCAATGACAGCTAGAAGAATGGCCCTGGAAAGTTAGTGTAACCCCATCCCTGAGATCTTTATAAATACTCAGGTGTTCATTTGCTGATATGAAACTGAAAAGCTCTACTAGAATTTAAGCAGTCACAATTTGAGAATGGCATCTAGAATGCAGGAAATAAGGGCCCCCTTAAAATTGATATGCCTGGTAACGTGATACATTAGGCTGGTGAATCTTTAGATTAAATCAGAATAATATGTGGAGGTGTTGCCGAACAAAATCTTAGGCTAGTCCCTAAGGACCACTGGGAGTCTTTTAAAGACGGGTTCCAACCTCAGAAATGCCGGTTCAGGAGGTCAAATATGGTGTTCTGAAACCTCCAGTTTAAAGGAACATGTCAGGTGACTTTGAAACAGATGCTCTAAAGACTTCAGTCTGAGAAATGTCATTGGTTTACAGTAATGGATTACAGATGACAATGTTTTCTAAGATGATATGTAGACTGGTATATTTCATATTCAGTCAGCAAGCATCATCACAGATTGTAGCTACAGCTCCTAGAGCTTACTTCAGAGAAAAACAGAAAAGCATTTGATTTACTATAGAACCAAAGGCTGACAGTATAAGTCTACTTCAAGAACTATCAACTGGAACTCACTCTAACCTTTACCCAGTAATATTCCAAGAGCACTTAAGCTTATCTCCGGGTGTAAATCTTATTTATGTTCAATTGCAGATGTTTGTCTTTGCCAACAAGGTATCTCAGAACTGTAGGTTCCTTGTGAGTTCCGTGTTCCTCTTAGCACTTAGCACGGCACTTCTGCAGTAGTGTGTTGGAAGGCCGTGGGATTTTCCTGACAGC